TATGCATACATAATTTCATTGTAAGGATGCCGATTCAAATTAATAAAAATCAATGTTTCTTGCACGACGGTTGATTTCTTCTGGCATGATTGAAGGTGCTGCCACATATTTTGTTGTCGCTTATGATTGTCACTGTGCCATGATTTTGTTTAAATTTTTGTAAAGTTGCTTACCACACTTACGATTGCTATAAATTTTGCCTCCGTTTTTTTTTTTAAGATTTTCTAATTTGGTGTCTTCAAACTAAAAACAAAAGCACCAAAAACGCGCCAAGCACCAAACTCAAAAATTTTCGCGTTTTGAATACCCACTAAATTTGGTGCGAAAAGCATGAAGTTGGCAACAGGGAATGTAAACAAAAGTATTTTATGACGTCAGCGATTAGGTGGATGCTGTCAAATCGACGAAGAGAGGGTTAGCGGTCAGCGAATGGCGCGACCTTTATTTTCTGGATCGTGGATACCAGTACTTAGAGCAGTGTTGCCAAGTATTAAGTTTGAAAAAGCACTAAAACCCAAGGAAAAACGCTTTTTTTCTCGAAAAAAGCACCAAATTTTTACCGGAGTTTTTAATGGAGTTTACATGCATAACATTTTTTGGACGGATGCTGACAAGGCGATTTATATAAGGTGGTGTTGTTTCATCAGCTGTGAGTAGCGTTTGATTGTCCAAATTTTGAGTGATGCAATAATACAAGGTGTTATGTAAAAGATTTTAAATTAATTAAAGAGTTATTCGCAAAAAATACTTGGACTTTGCACTTTTCGCACCATGTTTGGATGAATTTGATGCAAATAAATGGAGTAAATGAAAGTTGTTCTCTGCAAAAGGTGTTCAGCCCCCCTTCTTTGGCAACACAGTAAGGAAAATCCTACTGCCTGAGGGTTATAATCCCTAAGTGCGGTCGAAGTCCGCCTACGCAAAAAGGAGTTGGACGCCTGGTTCCGCTAAAGTTCACTTTTACCTATTGTATTTGTTGAATCGATTCCACCCAAGGTGGCGCATTCTCGAAACCGCTATTTTGGTTTTGCCGACTTTGACATTTATGGCAATACGTAAACAAACTTTTTGTTTATAAAGAAGTGCGTATTGCAAACGTATTGTGTACCTTCAAGTGAAAAATCGAAGTAATTCGTGCGTTCTGAAGTAAAAAAAGTTTTATTTGTAATAAAAACTTTATAAAAATGTCGTGTCGTGTGTTGAATTGCAGCAGCCCTAGGGGCATAGTCCCCAAATGCAGTTTTTTTTGTTTCCCCGCGACGACGCCTTGACTAGAAAGTGAGTACAGTTCATGGTGAAATGAACTGAAGGTGGCGCATTCCCGAAACCGCTACTTTGGTTTTGCCGACTTTGACATTTACGGCAATACGTAAACAAACTTTTTGTTTAGAAACAAGTGCAAACTTATTGCAAACGTATTGTGTACTTTCAAGGGAAAAATCGAAGTAATTCGTGCGTTCTGAAGTAAAAAAAATTTATTTGTAATAAAAACTTTATAAAAATATCGTGTCGTGTGTTGAATTGCAGCAGCCGTAGGGGTAAAGCCCCCAAATGCAGTTTTTTTTGTTTCCCCGTGACGACGCCTTGGCCAGAAAGTGGGTAGAG